TAAATTAGAGGTAAACAGCAACAGAACTATGCAGAATTAACATTCCAAACTCTATATAACGCAGAAATTAAGAACCCTAGATCGTGAATATGTACCTCCATCAACTTCTGAACGTCCTCCTCCACTCTTGTGGCATAAGAACCAGGAGCAACCCATCAATGTAAGACAGACCTGTGACCTGTTTCCGCCATTAATTAGAATGTTTATCCAGGAAAACGCAATCAGAGAATTCACTTCTAACTAGTAAACCAGACATAGATCGATTTCAAATACTCAATTACTCATAACCAAGACAGAAACCCCCAAATAAAAACCCAAGTGGGGGACTAAAAACCTCAAAAAAAATCAAGCAACTACAGAAAAGCTGTCAACTTGGAATTTGGGTTTCTCAAGATTCAGAACAAAACCTAGAAACAGACGCAGACAAAACGAGATTCACCCAAAAAAAAAGAAGAGAAACCCACCTCAGAAAAGCCCTAAATTAGGAACAGAGACGAATCCAAAAGGAGAGAGAAATCGCAGGTTGAACACTTGCTACTTGAGCTTAAACTCGGTATAAAAAGCCCCAGTCTTTACGCGATCAGAGAGAGTCGCTTTCTCTCTCTTCCTCTATGTTTGTTTCCAGCCGCGTGTGTGAGATCAGATTGCGGATTTGTTGAAATGGAAGACTAAGAAGAATGAATAAGGAAGACTCAAGAGGGGTCTTGGTATGGTGGCGGGTAAAAAGTCAATGGGTCAAATGTAAGCACACGTCAGCATCTTTTATCGGAGCAACGACCAACGCTACTTTTTTTTTATTGTGCATATTTTTCCTCGTGTTTAAAATGTCCTTTATGAAACGTTCTTTTCATTATGATTTTTTTTTACTATTTCTAATTATTTTTTAGCATGACTATTTCTAATTATTAACTTTATGTTTCGTTCATGGGTTAATTTATGTGATGATTAAAAAAACATATATTATGATTAGCAATCTAACCAAAAAGTTCTATATCTAAAAGCATCCATATTGATGAAGTTTTTTCAAATGGAAATATTATGATTAATATTTTAACATAAAATTAGTTATTTGATTAAAATTTAATGTTTTTTAAAAAAATTGAACCATTCACAACTACATATGTGTTATGAGTGTCTCTTGTTATTATCTCAAAAACAAATTTGTGAAAACCTATTTTTCTTTTTCCTGTTTTTTTATTTTTAATGTTGACAAATTTTACGAGAATCTTCCAATAGAAATGTTCTAATAGTTTTAATTTTACCACACAAAAAAAATAATTAGTTAGATTGCTAATTATAATTTTTTTATATTAAATTCTCTTTGTTTATTCTCATTTCTTTGGAATAAATATTGACTTTTATGTTTGGTTAATTAAGAGTCGAGCAATTATTGGTTTTTTAAAAAACTAATTGTTTTTAAACAAAAAATTTAGGGACAATTATAAAAATACCACTTTGTGTGTGTATATATTTGCAAAAATGCCACTTAGGGGTGTCCATTTACAAAAGTGCCACTAATTCTAGATGTATAAAACCTATATCTTAGAATTCTAAATACTAAAAAATATTTTGACACCTAAAACCCCCTAAACACTCAAAACTAAACCCTAATAGAACATAATTAACCCAAACATAAATAATATAAAGAAAAAATAATTTTGAAAAAGTGGCATTTTTGTAAAGATTTTAAAAGTGTGGCATTTTGTAAAGTGGCATTTTTTGAAATTTCTCAAAAATTTATTAGTTGATTATCTATCTATATTTATAAAAGAGAAGTCACTTTGCTTATGTATCGCGATGAGAGCGATTTGGGGAGGCAAAAAAGTAAATAAAAAGATGTCATTTTATTGTGTTCGGTTTATTGAAAAAACAAATTATGGAAATCTTCCATATTTAGATATAGCCGAATTTATGGATAAAAAACATTCATAACTATATATATATTATGTGCGGAAATATTCTATAATTATCTATTTCTATATATATATATATAATCTTCCATAATTATCTATATCTTTTTTGTAAATTAAATATATTGATATTCCGTATTTATTGTGATTTAGATTCAGATATTCAATTGGGAGTTCGTTAACTTTGATGCTAATAGCCCATAATTATATCTTATATTATTGGGTTTTATTTAAAAATTTGTGTAGCCCTAATATTTGGTTGTGTATATATATATGGATGTAGGCTATCTTTCTCTAATGTTGCATCTTTGATTTTTTAGGTTTTCTGTTTTTCTTTCTTATTATCATGTTTTACCTAATTTTTGTTTGCTTGTGTATCATGTCTCTCATATCTTTTCGGCAATTTATTATAATTGCTTGTATGTGATTTCTTGTATNAACGTGTTTCAACTTAATTGTTCTGATGCAATATATATGTTTTTTTACCTTTTGCAGGACATCTTTTGTTTCGTTCGTGTTGCTCCAACACCGTCACTCAGGATTCATAATGATTTCGGGTATGTGATTTATTTTATCGATATGTTTTTNCTTATTGTTTTGTTTACGTTCTATTGATTTGTTACATTTGTACATGCATGTATCAATNTGTTTTTATTTAATACTCCTACTTTTTAATGTTTCAATTATGTTCTCTTACTTTTAATAGGGACTTTCCGTTTTACATGTGTTATTCCAACATCCGGATACAAATTCATTGTGATTTCGCGTATGTG